ACCTCTTCATTTGCTGCTATCGGAGGACATGCTGGCCAGTCAAACTATGCCGCTGCAAATATGGTAATGTTGCTCAACGAACCTTGCTTAAGAAATGGCGACTAATCCATTGCAGTATATGAATGGTCTCGCTGCCAACCGCCGCAAGCGCGGGCTTGCCGGTTCTGTACTAAACATTGGGGTTATCTACGGTTTAGGGCTTCTCGCTCGAGAACGACAAGATATATATGAAGGACTCGAAAGAGACGGCTATCCACCAATCTCAGAGCGTGATATTCACCATATGTTCCTTGAAGCTATTGTCGCTGGACGGCCGAAGCCTGACCAAATCCTAGACCTGACTACGGGATTGAGCCGATACCGTATCAATGATCCCAGACCCTTACATTGGCATCGAGATCCCAGATTTTCTCACTACACAGTCAAGGAAGAAGACGTTAACAGTCCTGGAGTCAACTATACTCACCAGGGTCAGAGTATCAAAGAACAAATACGAGGATGTGTAACAATCGACGATGTCAGGGAGATATTGGAATCACAATTCTGTCGCCGCTTAGAAAGCCTTTTACAATTACCCACAAACAGTATCTCCGGTGACCATAACATTTCGGAACTGGGAGTTGACTCATTGGCAGCTGTTGAGGTGCGCGCCTGGATTTACAAAGCAACCAGTAAGGACGTTCCGGTGCTGAAGATTCTGGGACCCGCAACAATTATGACATGTAAGGCTCGCTCTATTGAACTCATATATCCAGGCTGACTATTTCAGTGTGTCACGATGTCTCGGAACAAATCATGGCCGACAGGGTCCATGAAACGACTGCTTGATGCAGTCCCTGAAGAACATAATCAAGTCATCCTTCGCTCCTACACCTAGTTTCAGGTCCTTTTACGGAGGAGCCGTGCAAGATCCACATTTGGTGGCTGAGAATCTTTCACCGTCAAGGGAATCGCATCTGAAACATCCGTACCATTCCAATTGACAGACCAAATGCCATCCGTATCAGTCGGTAGTGCATAGAACAGCGTTTCCCACTCTCCGGAAGAGGCGTCCAAGATCACCACATGGCCATAAAAGGTGAAACCGGATGTGATGATATCATCGGATGCGGAGTCGGATGAAGCGAGAAACCCGACTTGTTTGGATGTTGCTGTAGGGCCAGGAACGTAGAACGTTGAGTTGGAAAAGGCTTGACTGCTCCCCGTGCTATTAGAGCTGGCCAACCATGTCGAGCCCGAGTCAACAACTAGATTAGGTTCTTTAGCTATCCTTCAATCGAAATTTCGTCAACAAGCACAACTCACATGAGACGGAAACTCCGGTAGAGTTGCCTATAGTCACATTCGGGGAGCTAGCTATATAAGCGAGTCCTGCAGAGAGTCCCTAGTCAGTAACTTGATCCTGTTTATAGAGATAAAGTATTCATGAGCACACCATTTATTGATAGCAAAGGAAAGCCTCCAATGCCGGAGTCGTCAGAACCGTACGCAAAGAGGCTAAAAGTATCTCCTTCAGCGCGACGAGACAAAGATGCAGCAAATGTAGTTGATAGGGCTGCTGAGATCGCGATAGCCGTTTGGCAAAGTCGAAACACGAACATGATGAAGATCAAAGTAGTGAGTTCAATGTTGTAGACGCTGGTCCGTCTCGAGACTTTTCTTCGTTTAAGCGATTGTATGACTGGCGATACTCGAACAACAAAAACAGCAGCTTGCTGAACATTTATCTCCTTGGATTCGTTTCTTCATTGACAGACTACTTGATCGCGCCCATTGGGTGCGCAAGTGACTCTAGAGTGGCTGACGAGTACAAGCTAGCGAGTTCCCCGTCCATGACGAGGCTTTGCTGAACGAATTCATGCATATCAAGCATTGTCCCGCTAACTAGCGCCGGCATTTGGTTTTCATCGGAACTTGAATTGGCTGTGTTGCCCCACAACCCGATTTGGACTCCATAGCAAGGGGCCATTGTTGTACGTGTCGTTGAAGCTGTGCGCGTGTCGCTATAGGAGAGGATTGATTGATCTGGCGCCTCAACCCGAATGAGGATGAACTCCGGGCGGCGCTTGCCGCTCGCTTGCCGCTTGGGCGAATCGATCAAGTTAGTCGTAGAGGTATTTTCCCGAAAACGAGCCGTTAGAGGTTTTCAGCAATGCAAAGCATTGGGATAAGCATCCAGTGCCATGGATTGGCCTTGCAGATGAATGAACAAGGTCCAGGGGTTTGTTACGCGTCGACAATGACGAATGGTTCAGCTTCCCCACACCGTTTGGGGACAGAAAGGGGTTAATCAGATAGACTGGACGAATTTGGAAAGGGGTCCGAATAAACACCCAAAATTAGCATTTGAAACAATTGAATCTCCGCTATTGGACAACCGGATAATGCACAGTTACAGCGTAATAGCCTCAGCCTCCATATTCGTCGATGTCATTCATTCGAGGCTCGTTACGCAAACCTATAGTCTCCATGGCCATAATTTTACTATCACTGCTCATCGGACTATGGCTCCATTTGTGCTGCTTGACATGCGATCATTCTCCGAAATCCCCATCGTCTCTGCAGAGCACCACGAGACGGGCGAAAAACTTAAGCTCAATGAGGCTCAGCACCCCGGCAACTACACCCTGGGCCACGTACGAAGCCCTTCGAGAGGCCTCGCAACATCATGCTTCTGTGAATGCATTGACGGCTAGACCCTTTCGGGCGCTGTATAGCTAAGCGATGATCTAGCTGTTGGGCGGTGCAAGTGGAGTTTTGACGTGTCAAGCATTCGTGTGCTCCATCAAGTAGGACGAAGCTCAAGGAACTCCTCCACGCTCTTTCGATTGACTCATGACTACATGTATAAGTACTCAAGTCAACAACGCTAGAAGATGGTGAAGGCTTGTGTCATCATTCACTGCCTTGCTTTCACTCAAACCCTGACATCGTCTATCCTTTCTTTTCTTGATAAAACTAGCCATGCTTTCGTGTGTTTTCTTTCCAGTCTTGCTTAGCGGCCTGGTCAATGCCACTCCTTTTGGCTTCCCAGGCCTTCCCAACCTTCATCCTCGAGCCTCGTGTGACGGGAATACCGCCACTACCCGGACTGAGTGGTGTGATTACGACATCACTACTGATTATTACAACACCGCTCCGGATACTGGTGTTACCCGGGAGTACTGGCTTGAACTGACTGATGTCACCGTCTCCCCGGATGGGGTTTCGAGGACTGGTAAGTCGCTGATTCTACTTTAGACGCTCATTGACTTATTGTCAACAGCTATGGCCATAAATGGCACGATTCCGGGCCCTACAATCTTTGCCGATTGGGGCGACACTGTGACGGTTCATGTCACCAATTCTCTTTCAACCAGCACAAATGGCACTAGCATTCACTTTCACGGTATTCGCCAGAATTATACTAACCAGAATGACGGTGTTGTGAGTATTACTCAATGCCCAACAGCGGTAGGAGACAGCATCACGTACACTTGGAAAGCCACGCAATATGGATCAACATGGTATCACTCACATTTTGCCCTACAAGCTTGGGAAGGCGTCTTCGGCGGCATCATTATCAACGGTCCAGCAACCTCGAACTATGATGACGATTTGGGGATGCTTTTCCTCAACGACTGGGACCATCAGACCGTTGATGAACTGTACATTTCGGCGGAGAGCAGTGGCCCGCCCACTCTTGATAATGGCCTTATCAACGGTACAAATGTGTATGGAGATGATGACGACAGCTCACAGACGGGGTCTCGATTCTCCATGGGATTAGAAGATGGGACTTCATACCGTCTTCGACTGGTTAACGCTGCAGTTGACACTCATTTCAAATTTTCTATCGACAATCATACTCTGGAGGTCATTGCGAGTGATCTGGTCCCGATTCAACCATACAACACTACTGTTCTCAGTATCGGAATGGGTAGGTCTCAAAAATCCAAGGCTACCATAAGTTGACACTAATACCGTTCAGGCCAGAGGTATGATGTGATCATTCGAACGACTGGAATGTCCTCTGTAGCTACCGACTTCTGGATGCGAGCGATTCCTCAAATTGCTTGTTCGGACAACGATAGTACAGACAACATCAAGGGCATCGTCTATTATGGCGACAGCGCGGGAACTCCGAGCACTACAGGCTATGACTACACGGACAGTTGCGATGACGAAGATGTTGCCGACCTCGTCCCTTATGTGTCCAAGACTGTAGACTCGGCTGCCGTTCAGGACAGCGAAACTGCAACTGTTGGAAAGAACTCCGACAACCTGTTCCGTTGGTATCTGAATAGCACTACTATGGTAGTCGATTGGGCTGATCCAACACTACTACAAGTGTACAATAATGCGACCACATTCGACACTTCTAACGCTGTAATTCAGCTTGCCGAGGCTGACGAATGGGCATACATTGTCATTCAAACAACTCTCGCGGTACCGCACCCCATTCATCTACACGGTTTCGACTTCTTTGTTCTTGCACAAGGTTCTGGGACGTACTCATCAAGCACGACACTGAATCTTGATAACCCTCCTCGACGCGACACCGCAATGCTGCCAGCCTCCGGATATCTTGTCCTCGCTTTTGAGACCGACAACCCAGGCGCGTGGCTAATGCATTGCCACATTGGTTGGCACACATCGGAAGGCTTTGCACTGCAATTTGTCGTCAGACAAAGTGAGATAACCAGTCTCATAGATTACGACACACTAAGCGACACATGCTCGACCTGGAGTTCGTACGCAAGCACAGCGAGCGTTGAGCAGGACGACTCGGGGGTATAAGTGACTGTAGGCCTAAGTATCGGGACTGGAACATTTTGTGATAAGTGAGTTGGTAGACTATAGGAATGAATGCATCTAGCAAGCATGATACCATAAATATACACAAATGAATGTCATACAGCGTACACGATAAGGAATGTGACAGAATTTCCGTACTATTTTCAAGTTTCTTCGCTATCATGAGTCCGATTATTTCTTTTGAAGAAATTGAAACGGTCATCTTATACACCTGCCAATGACTGATTTACGTAGTTTAACAAAAGAGGGGTAATTCTGGACTGAATTATCCTGTCACCAGCAATGTTGGGGTGCACCCCGTCTCGCAGGTCAGATGTTGGGAAGCCGGTGGTGCAGTCAGCAATAACAATAGGAGAGTCTGTGGAGTTGAGACCCTTCGCCCAGGCAGGAATAGCGCTGTTGATAGCTTGTATGCCGGAGTTCGAAAAAGACAGAGGGATGACCAAGTCGACCTGGGCAAAAAGTTCAATTAGCTATTATTATTGTTAATCACTTAGAAAAAAAGCACTCACAATGATCTTCATCTTGGGATTTGCTTTGCGCATAATCTGCACCATCTTGGTATAGGCAGCCATAATGTCGGTTGTGCTTCGGCCTTGAGAAACATCATTTGTGCCCAACATGAACATGACGATATCGGCTGGTGTCTTTTGAAGCCAACCCTCGAGATATTGATTCGCTATGTTTATAGCAAGCCATCCACTGTGTCCTTCGTGGTGCTGATCCCAATTCTTTGTTGTAGGTTGACAGTTCTGTGGATTACTGTTTTGCGAACCAACGTACTGAACTTTATCGGCATAGCCAGCAGCAACAAGATCATCCCAGACGAATGCACGCCAGCATGTGATCTCTGTGATGCTATCCCCAAGAGGCACTGGCTCAATATTAGTTGAGGCTTTGATCTAGTTGAGACATGAATCAGGTTACCTACTGATGCGAAGTTTATTAGTCTGCGCGACAGCTGGACCAAAAATGGCCGCCGAAGCCAAGAGAAAACTGAAAACATGCATAATGAGACGATTTGTGGTTAAGAGACGATTTTCGCCAGCTGGAGAGTCTCTACGTCTTGCTTCAAGCTGCTGTCAAAGTGTTGTATAAGTCGGCGGAAAGATGCCTTTTGTACCTGGGATGTTCATAGTTGCTTGTGATAATTCGGAATGAAGGATCGCTCGTATGGATGGATATCACTGGACGTTAAGCAATTCCATCTAACCGGAAATATTCATTCAATCTAGGTGCAGAGAGGGGCGGTCCAAATAGGGCTCGGATGATGAAAGGATCTCCGTAGAAGATATTGGCCATTATATATCTCAGAAATCCAAGGCGGCTCCACGCACGTGGCTTCGATAGGTTCTGCTATAGCACGACAAAGTCTTAATAACCAAGTTTGCGGGGGAGACAGGCAGTCCAAATAGCCTGAAACTCACCAAATCGCTTGCGACGTCAGTTTCTGAGTCCAATCGCAAAATGAACCCGGGCACCAAGATCCGTAGCATCTCTAAATTGAATCGGTACAAGGGTAGTATAGGCCACGTTTTCGGCCACGTTTTCGGCCACGTTTTTGTCAAGGATGCCACGTGGATCTGCGCGCTTACAGGCAGCCAGGCATCGGAGTATTCCCCCTTGCTCGACATAATAAACAACACTGCCGTAAACCAAATCACATCATATAATTAGGTGTGTTTCAACCTGTAGCTTATCCCACAAGTTCCTATCTCGAAGAATCGCGTGCAAGAGCGTGTTCGTATCGAAAAATGTTTCAATTTTCAGCAGTCTGATACGAGACCGTCTACGATCTAGCGAACAAGACGAGAAATGGAGTAAACGGCTATCTCGTTTGAAGTTGGCTCGACTCCATACGGGTTATTAATATTGCTTCGTCAAATATCGAGCAATCTCAGAGAATCTGACTGACATTCTTCCTTGGCAGCATGATCGGGCGCAGACTATCGTATCGAAAAGAAGGCTTAGGTAGCAGATATGTATATTGCATCCTTCTACATGCCGTACAAGATAATAGTCATTCAACCGCCACCCCGCTCTTTTGTTTGAGTAGATCAAGCTGTCGGAAGCCATGTGAAGCAAGCTAGGGCTGTCATGGCCGCCGGCAAAAGCATTCTGGGCAGGAGTCTGGAGCCATCAGTATACGCAGCCCATGCAAAGCAATGACGGGTCGTCATGCGACCCACTACGGTTGATGCAACATGCAGGAGCTTAGAACACCAAGGAGCATCATACTGTCCAATCCAGGAGCTATACGCTCAGAGAGATCATGGTCAGGATATCCCTAGCCAATGAGCAATCACATTGATCCTGTATGAATGTTACTTCAAGCGATGCAAATCGAATATGCTTGCGATATAATCACTCAAAGGCGGTTTATCACGACTAAAAGCATCGGCAATATGATGTTATCTACCCGGAAGAAAGCCAAGAATAAAATATATGGATGATTATTAGCTTACGCACCCTCATGCCAATGACTACTTCATGCAACTCCAATAGTTGCTAACCCGATGGCCCTTCTAGGTTTGCCGCACACTTCATTGATCTCTTAGCAGCCATATTGACCGGTTGATTGCACGGTGCATGTCCATTCAGATCGAGCAAAGTATTGTTGACTGCACAGTATCTATTCTTTTCGCTTAAAGTTGCAAACATTGACACGATGGGGCGCCTGACCTCGGTCTCGAAGACAAATCGGCCGGGAACACACAAGCGTGATCCTATCCAGGTAGTGGACACATTTAGCAAACTTTAGGCTGAAAACATTTAAGTCATAGGGTCCCGGAGCATCCAGAAACCGAGAGAAGTGAGGTCTCTTCGTACAGCATCGCATCAAAGCTACGACAACGCACAAGATAGAAGATGAGCGATGTCAGTCGGAGCGACCATGCTCGGAAGAGGTCGCGTGGCCTTATGTCATCCTAGAACATCGTTTAACACCAGCTATGTAAGAAGATTTGCACTAGAATCGGCCAAACTTCACCAAGTCCTTGTAGTGTTTGTGACATGAATCGATGGTGATAATCATCCAGAATGCTCCGGATAATGAGACTCTCGACTAACATCAAAGGTGACATTGATTCCTAAAGACATGTTAACATGCCGTATTCCATTTGGTCGCTGCGGGTCTACTTTGAGCCTGGGAGGAATGGTTTTCCCCACGTCAACAAATGCCACGCCGTTCCTTTTTATCGGACCGCACAAAATTTCGGGGAGGTTATACCCAATTGATACTATACCTAGGCAAAATGGATACAATCTCAATCTCGCACAAAGCCTCTCTTCGTCATCATTTCAGCCTATGAATTTTTGTCACGACGGTTCCGAGCAAACATGATATTACTAAAGTGTACTCATTAAGCACGTCCCGCGCTTGGGGCTTGTTGACAGTACTCGTCCAACTAGCTTTGTTAAATTTGAAAATAATCTGGAGACCTGTTGATAGCGATTATTACTTTTTTTTATTCTTTTTCTTAGCACATGACTCTATGAATCGTTCTTTCATTCCACGTCGAAAGATTGGGGCTGTCGCCGATGTCGATAGCATCGCGCCATCTTTCCAGTCTTGGAAATGGTGAGCTTACCCTCTGCAGCATGATGCCAACACTTCCACACATTTTTGACCCAAGATCATTGGTTTCACTCGCGGGGAAAATCACAGCTGGCATGTATTCATTGGTTGCATCTCTCAATCAGGGATACGAGAGTGGTACACGATAAAACCGCAACAGCTCAACCCCGCCTCAATTCAGTTTTGTTCCCTCATTCTTGGACAATCGATAGAATGTACCAGTTTCCAATCACACAGTCAATGGAGATTCAATAGACGAGATGTCTCTACGATTATGGTCAGAGTCAGTCTCTTTTCTTTTAAGGATGGCTGTGATTGCAACAGCCTTTGGACTCGGCTACTCATTATGGCGCGGTTGGAAAGTTCGAATGCTCTTTAGAAGACTGAAATCTCAAGGCATCGTATGTTATCTTCAACATCCTAAAACATACAGACTCTCAGGGCATTTCACGCCGCTCGATGTTTGGTATCTACTTTCTTCTATTCTGACTATTGACTAGCCTGTCATGGAACATTCACTATTACTAGGCCATCTACCCATTCTCCGACGATTGACATCTTCCATACCGTCCGATTTCCACCCAAATTACATACCCCAATTCATCGTCGAGAATTGGTCAACACTCTTTCCGGAGCAAAAAGAATGCCCTGGGGTTCTTTACCTGGACACATGGCCGTTAGCACAACCTATCATTTTTACGATCGATAGCGAGTTTGCATCACAATTCATGCAAGAGAGCCCACATGCCTTACCGCAAGCAAGAATGTCTAAGTCCTACCTTCGCCCATTGACTCATAGCTTAGACTTATTCTCGATAAACACTGCCGAGTGGAAAACCTGGCGGGCCAGGCTCAACCCTGGCTTTAGTGCAAAAAATATTGTCACTTTACTTCCTGAGCTACTCGAGGAGGTCTGTGTTTTTGCAGATCTACTAAGGGATCGAGCAGGACCTGACGGAGAATGGGGTGAAGTGTTCCCTTTAGAATTACTCACGACGAATATAACTATGGATGTGATCGGAAGAGCGGCGCTGTAAATACCTTCTCCTTATGTTCACTGGTATCCAGCTGATGAAGTCTAGGGATCTGCGCTTGAATGATCAAACATCTGGTCCGAGCGACTTATCTAAGTCTCTTCTAAGACAGTTGAATAACTGCTATTTCTACTTCAATCCTTTGCGCTGGGCTGATCCGTTCAGGCGCATGTCGATTCGTGAAAACACGCGCATTATGCGCGACTTCATGTTACCTCGGATACTGCAACGATTAAATCCAGAATTTTTAGCAAACAAAACAAATGTCAAGTCTGTGATAGATCTGGCTATCAAAGAATACCAAAAGGAAATTGCTACATCAAAGATAGATCCCCGCAAGCCTAGCGAGGGATTCATCAATAGCGTAATAGCTCAGCTGAAGCTTTTCATGTTTGCTGGCCACGACTCTACAGCAACATCAATCTGTTGGCTTTTGCATTGTCTTCAAAAGAACCCAGTAAAATTGAAGAGAGTACGGGCAGAACACGAATCCGTGTTCGGGGCAGATCTAACAACGATCACCTCGCAACTTAAGTCCTCTCCACACCTGCTCAACTTACTCCCATATACGCTTGCATCAATTAAAGAGTCTCTTCGGCTGTTTCCGGTAGTTGGCGGAACCCGTGATGGGTCTCCAAACTTCAACTTCAAAGATAAGAAGTCGAACATGATCTACCCTACCGAAGGCTTCCTGGTCTGGGATGGCATTCGTGGAGCGCAAAGGGCAGAACACATCTGGCCACGAGCAGGCGAATTTATACCTGAGCGATGGCTAGTGACCGATCTAAATGATTCACTTCACCCAGAAAGAAATGCGTGGCGGCCATTCCTTTTGGGTCCACGGAATTGCATCGGTCAGGAGCTCGCCCTTGTGGAGATGAAGTTAGTTGTGCTACTCCTCGTGAGAGAGCTAGAGATCGATTGTGCTTGGGAGCAATGGGACAAGTCAAAGTAAGTAAGCCCA